TAGAGACAAGTCTTGCTCTGGGCTCAGGCTGGTCTTGAACTCCTGAGCTCAGAGCAATCTGCCCACCTCAGCCTCAGCCTTAGCCTCCCAGATTTAACAATTACAGGCATGAGCCACCATGCACAGCCAGAAAATACATTCTATTAAATCACTCAGTGTACCCTATAAGGTCCTGTCTTGAAAAACCAGTGTTAAGCCCTACTTGTTTTCTAACAAGTTTTCATGCCATTTTCCAGTCTCCTGCAGCAGGTAATAAAGGAATGTAATAAAAAAAACCACTCTAATTTCCTTATGAAAATTTAACCATGAAACAGTTCCATGTAATTTTTAGGAAAAAAAAAAAGTATCAAATTTCAATTACAAAGAAAGTTTTAAAAAACTGGATTTAGAAATTCTTTGATAAAGACTAGGAAAAAAATGTCATTGAGATTGTTTAGAAAAGTTCAAACCATTCTTCCACTACTCTCACACCACCCCAACAATCAACACAGGAAACTCAGTGGTCAAATGTGGAGGTTCTTCCCCACAACCAAGAGAGCAATCATTTCTGCGGCAGACACCAGCTGGTATCATTCAATTCAATTCCAACACTGCCTTCCTAGAAATAGAGTCAGTTCACCCTGGTTGAAGGTTCAGTCCCCAAGACTGCCTCCTACCCCACTTTCGGACAAGCCAGGTAGTCCCAAATAGTCCTTGTGGACTACAGGCGTGTACCATAAGGCCCAGCTAGTTTAACACTGGCAAGTCTAGGCTTCCAAAACTTCTGACAGACCTGCTTCAATTTGGGGTTCTGAAGACACTCCCCCCACCACACCCCTGTCTTTGGGTTCAATTCATTTGCTACAGCAGCTCACAGAACTCTAGGAAATACGTACGTTTACTAGTTTATTATTAAGGATATTACAAAGGATACAGATGAAGCAGCACAGATCAAGGCATGGAGGAAGGGTCCTAGAGCTCCAAGCGCTCCCAAGGTGAACCTCCCTCCAGGAACTTCCACATGTTCAGCTATTCAGAAGCTCTCTAAACCCTGTCCTTTTCGGGTTTTAAGGAGGCTTCATTACTTAGGCATGATTGATTAAGCCACTCTTCCCTCCTTGAAAGTTGGGGGTTGGGTTTGAATGTCTTAACCCACTCTAATCCAGCTCTAATCTTTCTGCTGACCAGCCCCCATTCATTAGCTACCTAGGGGCAGGCAGTCAGCCAGTAGTCAACTCATTAGCATACAGAAAGACATCTCTTTGGAGATAGGAGGATTTTAGGACCCGAATGCCAGGAAAGGAGGAGGAAAACCAAATAAGCATGTATTTCACAATATCACAGAGAAATACCATATAACAAAATCTTAACTGTGGTGAAAACCTAGAAGACTTATTTATACATCTGTGAGTTTATATTTTCCACCATGAGTATGCATTATTTTACATGCTTGACCTTAAAAAATAAATATATACTTTTTATCAAATAACACAAATTATGTGGCCCTTTGTATTTGGTTTTTAACCTAGAATATAAGGAAATTCCAGATTAAACTCAGCTCCCAATCATAATAGGTAAGAAATCCTCATTTCAACAGTATTTGTTCCCTAGTCTTTTCTCTAGCTTTGGTTTTGTATTTCTTTTCTTTCTTTCTTTCTTTTTTTTTTCATAAACTTAGCCAAGTGGTACAGTTTTCTATTTCTTTTTAATAACCTCATGTCAAAAATCTTTAACTAGAAACTGCCACAGTTATGCTTTAGAAAGTGATCATTTGATTTTATAATTAATTACACTGTTACATGACATGTAATACCAAAAAACAATTGTTAACTATGTGTAAGCCATTCTCTTTATGGTATTGTGTACATATTGTATACGAATAACTAAACTTTATAAATCACAAGGATGAAAGAAAGTTAAAGGAAACAATAGTCACCTGTCAAGAAATAAGCGAACATCACACTGTCAAAAGCCACCTCATCAAAAATTGGTCAGGTACTAAGAAGACGAAGTCTTGGTGGCAAGGCCTAATTCCACTTGCCTGTCTTGGCCATGTAATCTCTGCAACAGAGTGAGAGATAACTGATCAAAAAAAAAAAAAAAACTAAGTAGCAGTATTATTTCCTTTTATAAAAATCTAAATTTTACACACCCATCAGGGGCAGCCTAACAACTAAGAAGTTACATCACACTCACAGGGGAGGTTAATTGAAGCAACCAGCCCAAACCAGTCAGAGAACCAAATTTGTCATCTCAAACCAGGATCACCTGGGTGACTCCAAAGTGCTCAGTCCCCAGACCCAGGTCCTGAGAGCACTAACTTTTGTAGAAAGAGATCTGCAACCTAAAGACTACAACAGGGAGCACAGAAGTCTGGAAATTTCCTCTACCAAGAAGTTCCAAGGAGATCAGTCACATTAAATGGTATACGTGTTTGCTCTGCAATAAAAATATGTCACAGCCAAACAGCAAGGAGGACAAGGGGAGGACAAGAGGAGTAAAACAGGCTGGTGGTTTTCCACGTGTTTACTAAGAAAGGAAAATCTAATAAAACAACACAAATGACCGTCTGAGAGCAAAGTTGAGAGGCAAAAGCCACTACCACATGGGACCTTAGCAACGTGGGCAGCCTTGGCACTTTCCTAAAGGGCTCACAGCCAGCAAAAAGAGGTGGAGGCTTTCTAGTCTGTTCCTTCCAGATCTGAAATCAGGGAGCAGCTCTCAGTGATAAAACACAGATGACAGGGCTTTCTTCTAGGGCCATGCTAGAGGCTGGCTGCGGTTTCCCTCCCAATCAAGGGCAGAGACTAAATTCTTTTTAACTGTGTCACCAAGCACACAGCCCAGTGCACATGAGGGGCACTCAAAACCACATTAAATTAAATGCTGATTCCGAGTTATACGGATCATTACACAACGTGTTTGCTTAGTGCCCAGCAAAGAATTTTCAGAACGTCTCACATGTCTCTCCTAACATTTATGACATGAGATGGTCGCACAAGACGACAGGACGTAGAGACATTCAAAAGTGCCATGACAGAGGCGCAGCATACCCAGGCCCAACAGCCCCACGCAGACTCCTGCAGCGGCCCCAGGGAGCGCCCGGCTCCGTCACCCTTCATGTCACCCTCCAGGGTCTTTCACACGCCGCACAGGGGGAGCAGCTCACAGTCACAGTCTCACACTCAGGGCCACTCTCTCTGAGTCTCTCACACTCACGGAGTCACCCTCGCACCTCTCTCTCACGAACCCACCGCACTTCGAGTCACCGTCACACTCGGGTTCTCGCAGTCACCCTCACACCTCAGGCCTCTCTCTCTCCCTCACACTCAGGGTCTTGCGCACTCACAAAGTCACCATCACACTCCGGTCTCTCACACAGACTTTTCCACACACACCGTCTTACACTCAGGGTCTCCCACACTCCTGGGGTCACCCTCTAGCTCCAGGTCCCTCTCCTACACACAGCGTCACCCTCTCGCCCGCAGCGTCTCTCGCGCGGCCCGGGCCCACCGCTTCCGGCCCGCATCCCGCCGGCGCCGGCGCCGGCGGCGACACGGAGCGCTGGCCTAGGACGGGACGTCGCCCCAGCCCGGCCCAGCTCCCCGGCGCGGCCGCCCCCGGCCCAGCCCCGCCCGGCCCGTTACCTCTGGTGGCCAGGCGCCGCCGGGATGCTCTGTCGCGCCGCCGCCGCCGCCGCCGTGGCCACTCAGGCCCCGCCCCGCCACGTCACCGCCGCCGGATCGCGACAGCGCGCGCCGCGTCGGGACAGTGCTTCGCGGGGGTCCAATGGTGCACTCGCTTCCGGGCTTCAGGGGCTGCCGAGGTCACCGCGATCCGGGGCAGAGGGCACAGCCTCTGCACCTAGTCGGCCTCGCCGGAGCCGCGTGGCCGTGACCTGGGCCAGCCACACTCGCGCCCCAGAGTCACAGGGAGCCTCCTAGGGCCTCCACAGAGGAACGTTCCCGCCGGGAGCGCTAAGCAACCTGTTCCCATTTGGCCCCTGGCCTGGGCTTTACGCTCAGTGGGGCCCCACAGCTCACACTGGAGCTCCAGACAACCTCCACACCAGGGCCCTGCTGACCCTCTGCCTAGGGACCCCAGGAAGACACACACTCCCAGGACTTGTCCTCTCACACGCATAGCTCAGACTCACAGCCACGGAGACCCCCTGGCTTCCTTAGCCAACCCCCGGCCTCCCTGGGACTCTGTCTCCATCTTGCCTGACCCCAGTAACATCCCTCCAGAGGGACCTGCGCCCTTTTGTCAGCTTCTCCTTCCTCTGTGTGCTCCTCCTCCATCTTCCCCTGGGACTCCCTTTCCTCTGGTAGCTCTGGGACATCATCTGGGGTCCCTGGACTTTATGGGCCCCTGAACCCTCCACCTTAGCATCCGGTACACACCTCAAGCACTAACTCTGTCCTGGACCATGAAGCATTTTCCCCCAATCCTATGTCCACAACTGTACATCCTCCAGTTCCAGATCACACCCAAACCTCTGCTCCCCACACCCAGTGACCCAGCCAGAGACAGCCACCACCCCTGACCCTCCCCCACAATAGCGCCTGCATCCCACGTTTCCAGCCAGTCTGCTTTTCCCACTCGCAACAGCCTCCCAATCCCCATGCTCTTCCCCTCTACACCATCCCCACAGGGATGCTCCTAAAATACAGACTAGAAATATTTGCATTGGTGGAGTTTGATCCTTTGCCCCCCAGATCAGTTCCTCCAGCTTCCCAGCTGGACGGAGGGATAACTCTGGACAATGTGTCACTCAGGAGCAGCCAGTCCACTGGGTTGCATGCAAGGGCTGCATGCAAGATATGCTGGCTCAGTGCCTGGTGCATGGTGGGCTTTCAGCTGATGTGTGAGACAGCAAATACCTCTGGCTTCAGCTGATGTGTAACTACAAGTAGGATGCAGGCCCTGTTGGTGGGGGAGGGTCAGGGGTGGTGGCTGTCTCTGGCTGGGTCACTGGGTGTGGGGAGCAGAGGTTGGGTGTGATCTGGAACTAGAGGATGTACAGTTGTGGACCTCTGGCTTTGCTGTCTCACACTCAGTTGTAGCTACACATCCACTGAAAGCCCACTGTGCACCAGGCACTGAGTTAGATATCCTCCACAGCAGTGCTCCTTAAAACTATCCATGGGGGCCAGATCCAGGGGCTCATGCCTGTAATCGTAGCACTCTGGGAGGCTGAGGCAGGTGGATTGCCTGAACTGAGGAGTTCAAGACCAGCCTGAGCAAGAATGAGACCTCATCTCTAAAAAATAGCCAGGGTCAGTGAGTAGGGCACCAGCCCCATATACCAAGGGTCCTGGGTTCAAACCCAGCCCCAGCCAAACTGCAAAAACAACAAAATAGCCAGGCATTGTGGCAGGCGCCTGTGGTCCCAGCTACTTGGGAGGCTTAGGCAAGAGAATCACTTAAGCCCAGGAGTTGGAGGTTGCAGTGAGCTGTGATGCCACAGTACTCTACTGAGGGTGACAAAGTAGACTCTGTTTTTTTGTAGACTCTGTAGACCCTCTATTTTTTGTAGACTCTGTCTCTAAAAAATAAAAAATAGCCAGGGGTAGGGCGCCGGCCCCATATACTAAGGGTGGTGGGTTCAAACCCAGCCCTGGCCAAACTGCAACAAAAAATAGCCAGGCATTGTGGCAGGCACCTATAATCCCAACTACTCGGGAGGCTGAGGCAAGAGAGCCGCCTAAGCCCAGGAGTTGGAGGTTTCTGTGAGCTGTGACACCGTGTCACTCTACCAAGGATGATAAAATGAGACTGTCTCAAAAAACGGGGGG